TATATATGTGTGCTCTGATTCTGTAGCACAAACACTTGACTTGGAAACAGTCCCTGCTGCCTCAGGATTCAGCAGACTGCTGAACCCTGTGAGTCACCTGCACATATGTAGCCAGCAACTATACATATAGCGCACAGTGGACACTAAGATTGGTGGTGCAGCAATGAAGTGGCTGGTGAACTAGGATGTGTTGTGGAACATTTGTGGGCTGGAGAGGCAAGGGGGGCTTGGACTCGGAGGCCAGCACTCGCGTCCATGGACTCAGAAGGTCAAGCATCATGCACAGTGGGCTGGGGATGTGGTATGGCGCCAGACAGGGCGGGGCTTCCTTTGGGCAGCTGACACAATGTCAGTATCACGTTGGTGTATATTTCCAACCCTATCTGATGGAAATTGATGGGCCATCAGGCCCAGACGCCAACTTGAAAAATGATTGGCTGCAATGTTAAGATCTCTGCCTATGTCGCACCAGAAACAATGTTGCCAGGTGGGTGCTAAAGCTTGCTCCTGGTGTTAAAGCACACTTTGACTTCATGCGCAGCCTTAAGGAGTCTGGGAAGTTTACTGACTACTATCAACAGGGCTATTAACAGGGCTGAGATTCTTACAGACCCTGCGAGACTACTGCTATGGCCCCCCACAACTACTGGAACAATATTTATTGTCCCCAACAGCTAGACTATGAGTGGCAACACCAGTTTTTTTTTCAAGAGGACCACCCCGGACATCGTGGACAGCAAGAACCACTCCTTTGCCTCATATGCAGCAGGTAGCACAGATATCCAAGTCTGGAGCACCCCTCCAATGTCAATGGAGACCAGAGGGACTGTCCCTTTGTTGCAGAGCTCCGAGAAGGCTGACTCTGGACAGTGTCCACCCCATATGGCTTCAGTGAGCCCCGACACATTTGCATTGGGTTCAACCTTTCCCGCAGCCACCAGTGCGAGTACAGACACAAGGGGACACTTGACATCTGCTCTTGTTGTGGTAGTTCTGAACATGGTTGCTGGGACTACTAAGGGACCTAGGCTTTCACCCACACATTCATTACCCGAGCTTATCACCATTCTTCTGCCCCAACTTATCTGGTGATGAGTGCGGTGCACTCCCTGTTAGTTGGGCAGATATTTTCAAGACCCTTCTCACTGCTTTTCTTGTCTTCAGTGTCCACCTGGTAGTTTATCCCATCAATGCAAGTTTGCCCAACTAGGTGCAGGCCTTGTTTTATACTGACCTATTTCATTCAATTAGGCAGGTCACGGTCACATCGGATTTTTTGGCCAAAATATTTTGGCAGGTTACAGGTCACAGCCAAATCTTTTGGTCCCAAACTGTCCTAATCGGGAAGATTTTCAAATTTTCAGTGCCTGCGGCGAGCCAAACTTCCTAATCGGGTAATAGGTCACACGAGATTTGGCCTAAGGCCAAATTGGACATTTCGGCCAAACGGTCAAGGGTCACAGGCCCCTGAATTGATCGAAATGGGTCAGTACTATGATGGTGGCTATATTTGGCATCCTTTGGTGTTTGGTCTAGTTCTTTAGTGCTCTCTTTGATGTGTACCACTCCTTGTGCTGGAGCTACCCCCAATATTCATGACCACCCCTGTCAATATCTCTTTCAGGTTTGCCTGTATCTGTGTCACAGGGTCTCTGAGAGCTACAGATGGCTATGTTCTGACAGCCTTATTGCTAGCTATATAGGCATTACAGAGCAGTAAGCTGATAGGCAAGTTGCTGCATGGTATGGGGCCAGCCTGCAGACTTTGCCTTGAAGCTTCCAGCAAACATTTGCGATGCTTATAAGTAACTGGTGTAGCTACTCCCATTGCTGCTGCAACTTGTAGGGCTGTTCTTGTCAGACTGCAGGTCAGGCGGTGCAAGGACTTCTCCTACTATAACGCGTGCCTGGAACAGAACAGACAAATTGTTGGGCTCACAAGTACAGCGAGCTGTCAACGTCGGGCTCGGGCCGTATCGGGGCGTCGGGGGGTCCAACTTCGAGAGGGTCTGAGGAGCACAAAAGATGGGTGTTCGCCCGGAGAATAGACAATATTAGCCTAGCGACTACATCTTGTAAGTACGGTTTTTATACACCATGGTATTAGGGATGGATCGGATGGGCGCCAGGTCCCAGGGCGGATCGGATGGGCGCTGCGTAGGGCCGCAGGGGTGAAGGGAAGGGGCTGGAAGAATGAGGGAGCGTCGAGGAGTATGGCGGTATGCGGGCCCATGCAGCCTCGTGGCCCGGCGGCCCAACCCGAACCGTGACATGAGCAGGATAGATCAATACCAAAAGGGCCCTTTAACTCAGTCCCTTATCACTGTTGGTGGTCTAAGGTTCGAATAGGGTTGTATTGGGCCCCGATGAGTTGTTGGCACCTTCTTGCATGGAGAAAGGTAGTTCTTTAGACAATCTAAGCAATAGAGTACATGGTACGCTATCAGGCATTATATATGCGGGCCTGCAAAGGGGTGATTGGACACCCTGGCCTCTCCTGCTCCTCCTCACTCCTGTTTCTGGTGGCAGAGGGGATGATATTACATCCCTTGCAGGCCAGGCGCTACTCCTAACCTCCTAGCACTCCTCCCCAGTCCCCTGGTGTTGAGTTGGGCTTGGCAAAGGCTCGATACGTCTTTCTAGGTCACGTGCTTCCCATGTGTGCGTTCCTCCTACTGGGGTGCATGTTCCCTGTCATCATGTGCTGCCTGTTATGGGCCTGCGGTGGCCTAACACCAGTGCCGGAGAGGATGGGCCGGGTCTTATCCATGACAGTTCTCAACTGTATATGAGACAAGATTCTTGGTCATGTGCTTCCTATATGCCAGTAGTTATTCCATCCCTTCTGAGGTGCATATTCCTGTCATTTTGTGCTACATGTGAGGACCTGCTGGTGTTGAGAATGGAAGTGAGGAAGGGGTGCAGAGGAGCAGAGGGGATAGAAGAAGAGTATATTAGAGAGATTGTGCACAGCCATCTGATGGCTAAACCTATTTTTTCCTAACACTTCCAGGGGACCTCTAGACCTGATATTGGAGGTGGGTGTAGGGAATATGAATATAACTCTACCTGCAAAATTCTAGCCAGAACCATTCACATAATACTGAAAAATTGTGGTGGAAAGTTGTTAAAGATCCGTTGCCAAGAGCCTACCAGCGATCACGCGGGACGCTGTAGAAGGGGTACAACTGGTGGAGAATCCGTTCTCCACCAGGCCTTTATATACTGTCTATACATACATATCATATGACATAACCGCCATGTGCGCTCGCTCGTCACATGCGCATCTCCATGCGCTAACAAAAGTAGCCATCATAGTCATTGGATAGCTATGCACAATCTCTCTATTTTTGTAGGGAGTTTACAGACAGTTTATATACCAGGTAATATTTATCTAGAATGTTCTACAAGGTGGAAGAATAATGAGTAAGTGGAATATGAGGGAAACTCTGAGAAGGTCCAGAGCGGCCAGGCTGAATAAGTGCTGGCCAGCAATGCCATTCCCAACAGCTGGTTCTGCCACAAGAAGCCAGACCATTTGGGTAGAAGCGGCAACAATGTTAATAGCAACAACGTTAATAGCAACAGCCAGAGCAAAGACTGAGACTCTAACCAAACACAAGTAAATAATACAGAGCAGACATGGCCCACTGTTACATGCATGCAAAATGTGTGTACCAGCTATATATAGTGGAAGCGCATATGACCAGCATCTGGTCATAGTGGTCTTTTGGCCCAGTTGGATTCATTGTTAGCGCTTCTGCACAGATTTCAGACCCACCCAACTTATATACTGATTACTTATAATACTTATAGGAAAATAGTTGTATCCAAGTTCATACTGTTGCGCTGAGCACCATTGCTGGAATGTAAGGGCAACCCCGGAGGCCTGAGATCAAGGTCCTAGCAGGGGAGGATCCAAAGCATGAATATTGGTAAGTGAATACAAATGAAGCTGACCTAGCAGGGGAGGATCCAAAGAGAAGAAACTCTAAGGGTCCACTTGCTATGTAGCTGACTATATACTGCTTATTTGTCCGTAGCTGCCACTGTCGGAAACAGAAGGGTTTCAAAACTGTTTTGAAACAAGCCCATTTGAAACTGTTTTGAAATGAGTGGCCCGGGTTAGGTAATCCTCTCAGCCCGCAAGCCGCCGCTGGTCATCAGTGAAAAATGTTCTTTGGTCAGGAGAGGGTGGGTGTCAAAGCCACATCCAAGGGGCTGAGCCATGTAATTGGCCTGGATCCGCAGTCTCTGGGCTGGCCAAGCCGGGCTATGCATTGCTGTAGCCATGACATGCATTGGGCATCCAGGCCTGTTTTAAAACCACTGTCAACCCCAGCGGAATTCAAAACTCCTGTTTCAAAATTGTTTTGAAATGGCTTTCAAAGTGGCTTCAACTCACAGCACCCTAAGTAGCATCCAAGAGAATAGGCTGAGTCTGAGTTGTATCTATGACAGAGATTTGGCCCTTGACTGAATTGTACATTTCTGCCACATTTTTCACAGGTTACAAGCTACAATACTATAGTAAGTTAGGAAAGTCCAAGGAATCAGAGATAGAGTTCCTTTTAGATTATTCTGATAATAGAGATGGTGCACACTGCAGAGCCCTAGGCATTTCTTATATCATATACATACCAATAGTCTGCATGATTCAATATAATAATATGTAATACATGCCTGCATGTATAATTCTATTTCTATAAAACATAGTTCAAAAATTGACTAACCCATACTTATATGCTGCCAGTAAGTACTAGTAGCCTATATTACTGGCAAATTTGTAGTGTTCTTTCCCTTTCAAACAGAATATACCCCAGAATTCAATGGTGCTCTCTTTCTGCTTGAACAACAGGAGAACATGGCCCGTAATAATTCCTAAGCCAACATTATTTTCCAAAAACTCACTAACAGGAAGATATAAATACCATCTGTGTTCCAAACATCAGGGCTACTGAGAGGGGGGGCTAGAATATTATTGTTAATAATATGATTAGTCAGAAAACAGGTAATATACTCAGTGCCAGGAGAACAACAGTCACTGATGTTGAGACATTCATCACAACATCAACCATGCTATCACCAATATACTCAGTATGTTCTCTGAACCAGATGCTAGCAAATTTAAACTTACATAATACCAAAGCCGCCAGAGACTGTATATAGAACAGTGCGCAAAAACAGATGAAATGGAAAGTCTGATCCCTTGACCTTGAGTGCTTCGATAGCTGCTCGTTGGCGAACCAAGTGAATAATAGTGAAAACTAGTATAAATTTATCACACTAGCACAATTCAAACCAGATTGTAATAAACTTACCTTCCATGATCAGCATTGAACTTAGAAACAGAATCACAAGTGTTCCAGTCAAGAGAGTTCTGTGCATTTATGGTTTAAGTATTGGGCTAACCTGGGGGGATTGACATACGGGATCTTACTGCCCATAATGTGGCAATAGACACCACTTGGGTCACGTTTGAGTTGTGAGATATCAGATAGTCCAATCTGTATGCATTGCTTAGTAAAGGAAGTTCACAACAATTAAACTCAATATTTATACCGTGAGTGAAACCCAGAATACAATCCCATGGACAATTGGAATACCCCAAGCAACCTTGTACAGATAAATAATATCAATAAAACATAAGGCATATAGTCTGATGCGCACCCAATAGATGAATGTATCACTCATGCGAGTGGAAAAAAGAGCCGAGGATAATCGAAGATGGAGCTGCACACAGATATCTAAGTAACATCTTGAATTTCCCTATTAGTATACACTCACCTCAATCACAAAAAAAGAGCGGCAGCTGCCAACCTACAACGAGTTCATGATGAGAAGCAGTCCTCGATAGTCAACACACGTGGGAGGGGCGGCATAAATCAACGCGGCAGAATATGCACAGTAATACAAGGGCGGTTCCGGTCCAGTTTGCTGACCAATCAGCAGCAAAAATGACACGGAAAATGTGGCACTGCATAGCTGGAGCAGGTACCACGTTTTGACCCTTTGAATTCCAGAGAACCAGGCCACAAGGATGCTAACAATGAGGATGACGAGGGCTAATATGGCGAAGAAGTTGAAAAGAAGAATGGGAGTAAGTGACGGGCCAGCCTGATCTACTATGCTCTTCATCAGAAATAATTCACAAGCAGTGATTATATGCATAGCTCACTGCGTTCGATGAGTTGAGGGACTGGGTACATGATGAAAGAGAGATGGCGAGGAAGAGGAGAAAGAGAAAGAAAGTACCTGCATCAAGGTTGCAGGCGATGGCGAATAAATAACTGGATGAGTAGGATCGATGATCGGAGATGGTGGGATTATGTACGACTCTGCGACAATACAGCGAAAGGACGGCGATCTCGAGTCCCTTGATTCCTGGAGATCTCACAGGAAGTGTCGGCGCTTGCGATAAAAGATCAAAAAATTCATCACATCCGGGCCTGTGAACGAAGGAAAGCTAGCATTTTGATCGAGCAATGTTACAGCCACAACCAATTAGCGACCAACAGCAGCCCCACGCTTCCGAAATAGCACTTGAGCCCTCTTGGCTGGCGTTGACACTGGCCCGAGCCACGAATCGCTCAGTCGCATCCCATCTGCCAAACGCATATCGTATCGAAGGATCAGAAACGCCAACAGGCATTTAATTTGTAGGGAAGCAAAAAAATCGACCAGGGCTATTCGATTCTCCATAAGTTTCCAGCACCCACAAATGTTGCAGGACGTACCAAATATGACGCCCACCACCAAACGTTAAATACGAGGACGAAGTTCCGGTCAGTCTCTGCATCCACAGCGGATTGGTAGCATCCATGCCAACGTCTAGGTCGACGCCGACTGAGCCCTCCGTCTTGGAGAATCTCAGCCCATCGAATTTCGTGGCATGGTCGTAGATGGTCTCGTCTTCGTGAACAGCGGTAATGGCTGTGGCGATGAAATTGTTGGGCTGTACGATGGTTCCATCAGAGAATTCGAACGGTGTCAAAGTAAGTCTGGGCATCCACATAGCGCTGTGCACGTTCAGTCGAAGGGATTCTTTGATGAAGCTATCTAGGTTGACGATCGAGCCAGCGCCTCTTTGGACCACGCAAGGGGTTTTTGGATCGAGGTAAGTCTCAAGTTCGGAACGGAGGATGAGTACGTATTCGGGTTGGGCGACAAGATGATAAAGTGCGTGAATATAGGCCTATCAGATTGAGTTACTATAATTTCAGGTGAAAAACATCACAACACTGACCCTGGATGTGGTGTGCAAGGCAACGAAATTCACATTGAGCATTCGCATAGCAAGGGACTCCGGCGCATGCTCTGTCCGTCCTTCCCAAGGTTGGTCCATAAGCCAAGTCAGCATGTCATTGGGGTTCTCGTCGTTGTCAGTTTGTGTGGGAACCATAACAGTTGGAACACTTACTAGATGTGCATTGCCCGTCTCTCGATTCCGCTGACGCTCGGTGATATCTGCTGCGAGAAGGTGGGTCATACGCCTATGATGCCCAAACACTAGTTGAAATAACCATCCGACAGCACTATTCCAGGTGATGAATGTCTTTTGGCATATTCAGGAAAAAACATACGGTCGAAGTAAGCCAGGTACAACCATACGAATAATAGCACCTCCAGTGATTATATCGTCGGAAAACCCATTCAAGAGCTTGCGGTATTTTGAATTGCGGCCTACATCCGAAAATAAATGAATTAATGGTTATAAATAACACCAGGGGCAAGCTAGCGGCAGAGAGCATATGGCAGTTTGCTGGCGATTTGCAAGGCAATTTTTTTTTACTTTGTTAAAAACAAAGGAACCTTTGTCTTTGCCCAACTGCCGCTAGGTCTGCCATTAGCCAACTGACACTAGCATTGCCCCTGGTGTAAAGGGGGGACCCACACAACTTAGGACCGACGAAAACTCGATTACTAACTCGGGTAATGATGGCAGGGAAGATCGTTGTTGGACGAAGTGACGACCAACGATCTATGGAGTTTGTGTTTGAGCGAGGGAAGCTTCTGGTCTGGGTACCTTCCGAAAGATTCAACTCCTCATTGAAAGCCAAGAGCATTTCGTCCAAGATGTCTGGCAGTTTGTTGGCCAAATTGAGATTCAAAGCGGTCTTGATGGCTGGGATATGGTAGGTCTCTGAGCAGAACAGTGGGCCGACAGTGTGATGCGTTTGCAGCAGCTAGAGCAGCAGATACATAGATTGAAAGGAAGGAAAACCCATTTGCGCACCTCCTCCGTAGCTGCCTCCATTGAGAGAATCGACTCGGGCGCATTGAGCTGATCCTTCACGTGCTCTTTCGTCGTCGTCAAGACCACCCATTCGCCGAAAAGAGGAAAGGTAAAGAGTTGGCCATAATACTAAGAACATCTTCAGATGGAAGGAGTCTATAGCTTGGATTGCGTACCCGCTTTGCAGCGACTTGAATAGCTGCTTTTGTTCGAATAACATTAGAGATAGACGTGATATAGGACATCCACAAGTTCCCAAATCCACGCGACGGCAATTCGGCCTATAAGTTCGCTTTGTTCGACGAAAGGGATGTGTTTTGGAGCCGAATTTACCTGCTTGCGTTTGCCCTTCTCCCAAAGCCTCACTACCACAAGTATCAGGAGTGAAAGCAGCTCATATAGCTGTATCTTTGCAAAAGATGAGGGCTGAGCTGCAAGGCTGTAATGCAAAAGATGAGGGCAAGTGCCCAAAGAAAAACTTATAAGCAATAAAATAATTACTTATAAGCCCTCTGGCGGGTTTTGATTGATGGGATCAGTGCATTTAGATAATATTACCTAATGTGGAACGATTTTTGATTGCCATCACTAGATCTAATGACCAGGTGATGCCACATCAGTCTTACTTAATCTCTGAATTTATTTTCTTATTTCTGCCACATAAGTCCAAAGTATTACCCTACGAGTATTCGGCCTGAAGAAAAGGTGATTTATATGACTATATCAATTTTTAGCTTAGTCATATCTTTCAATTCCATTGAGAAATTCAATAATTAAACCCTGTTTCACATCTTTTGCATTAGAGTCTTGCAGCTCAGCCCACATCTTTTGCAAAGAATGAGCTATATAGGGTGGTGAAAGAGATGCCGCCAATATCGAAGCCATTGTGGTCAGTCTGGATCACAGAGGCAGCGAGAGAGAGCGAGAGTTAAAATAGGATAACACATCACGCACCTGCGACACGATGCCGTCGCGAGTCTTCCCTGTGGGCTGTGTGGAAAGGTTTTGCACTTCTCATTGGTGCAACGGAAATAAGTCTATCCACGAACCACGGGGATGATGGTCAGAACGAGGAAGCGCAGATAATGATAAGTTATTGAAGTTATGTTGGCATGTTGAACAGCCGCTGCCCCACTACACTTTCCGATCCGATTCGGGACCAGTAATTAGTATTACTGGTTGTCATCTAGAGCCGTGATGCTGTTTCCTTATGGGGAGCTTGCGGAAATCACTCGGCTTTCGGGTTTTCTCGGCGATGCCTCAAAAACCTCCCACACTCGACGCCGTGTGGGAGATTTTTGCGGGTATTATCAGGCTCAAACTGAAGGTTATGTTCCAACGCAAGACGCTTTACATGTCGTCGCAAAATTATCCCACGCAAAATATCCGTCAACTCCTGCGACAAGGAGACTTAGAGTTCCCACTGGCAGATTTGGAGCACGGTGCAGTTCAGATTGTAATGAAGAGGATAGATGATGATAAAGACGACCACTTGGCCTCGAGCCCGCTCGTAACATTCCCCTGCGGCGATTTCGAATCGGAAAGTTGACCAAGCAGCTACAAGCGATTCAAAGTCCGGTCAACCATAAATTGTGCATGGAGCCACCGATCAAACAAGGTCCCATCTTCGGGATCCTCCATTGTACAAGGTTCTTGAAGCGCATTGCACAAAAACGAGTCAATATTGACTTGAAAGAAAAATGGTACTTCTTTATAATCGGCTGAATTGTTTCTTGGGGCTTGAATGTGATTATGATCTAGTCGTATTTCTGTATGAGTTTGTGCTCGCTGAGGGGTACAAGATCTTGCCTTGAACTGGACATCGAAGGGCAGCTGGGGCGTCCCAACCAAACTTTCCACCATATTCCGAGCGCGAAGCAAAGGATCATGCCGATGGAGTTCCAATTCCTCTTGCGTAAACATATCAGAGCAGCTATCAGGATGACCATGACCGTGTAGCCATCGGACAAATCGAAGTCGGAAGAGTTTTGCCATGGTCATGGCGATGCAGTCATTAGTGTCTCCGTGAAACTCAAACTGCAAGGAGGAGAGCAGCGGCTCTAACGACTTGATGCTCCTCTCGTAGATCGTGGCCACAAAACAAGCTGCTTGGGAGAGATGGCCTGAAAGGCTCTGGACAATATTCAACGTGATCGAGAAAGAAAGGAGGATAGGATTGCATGAAACGCACCTTGATAGGGTCCAATTCTTGACTCATAGCCCCCTTGATGACACCACGGAAACCTTGACAATAAGCTTCGATCTCATTGTGGTGCTCATGAGTGAACCCAAGTAAAACATGGAATAAGAGGGTCAAGCCAAACTGGCCATGTTCTTCGACCGTGCGGGAATGCGTCAAAAATTCCAGCTGACGTCAGACTTGAGCTTCATGTTGGTTGATGACAGATAACTTACAGTGGGATATATTTCCGAGAACAGAACTCCAACCGGATGACAAGCGACACTTTTATGATCTATTGCATCTTGGTATCCAAAGGAAAACCATGGCGAAAGTCTGCCGCCCATCTCAGGGTCCAGATGCTGGATGAAGTCCAGCGATAGGCATAAACCAGCCTTGCCATAGAAAACGAAGATGAGAAAAAAGGGGCTGATTGGTAGAGGTGCAATCCCATGTCGATGAATGATCGAAAGAACCGTAAAACGGCCGGCTGCCCAGAAAGTAGCTTGACGTTTGGGGGAGGGATGCGCATCTGGCCATAGAACCGGAACCTTGTATTGACCGCGCATGCCCCAGAAGCCGTTGTCTTCGAGGATTGCTTCTAATCCAGCTGAATACAACTCCAGAAGCGGTCCTCCACCGCGAGCACGTTCATGAAACGGTGCTGAGGGGTTTCCCCTAAATCAGGATGAGATTTGGTCTGGCACCGTATAAAAGAAACACTCTACAAAAGAATATCGTGATCCTTTTCCATTAGCCAACTAATGGAATCAGTTTTGAGACAGGAGACCCCTGGAAGAGGAGTAAAGACTTCTTCGGCTGGAAGATAGTGTGAATGGTGCTTCAAAAGGCGGATCAAAGTAATGGCGGTGGATTTGGCATGGTGCCCAGCCAGAACAGTGCCGACTGCGCGATCGTTGGCCGTTGAAGGCAGCGAATTCTCCTCTATCCATTGGGCAACGATAGCATGGCTTGTCTCAAAACAGAGGGGAGTCCAGACACTGCATTTTGTCTCTTTGGAGTTGGAGGAAGTATTGACTGGCGAAGAGAGAGCCTTGAAGACTGGAGGATTTTGGGGGAAAACGCTGGCTACTCTCCAGTGAGCCTTGTGTGAAGAGATTAAAGAGATGTACATACTGCTTGCGTATTGGGATACAGACGGACTGGTGTTGAATGCGGCGTTGTGATGGTATTATCGGACCCATTTGGACTCTGGACACGACATCAAGTAATGCTTGAAGCAGCCAAGGGAAAGCGTACATTGCGGCTATATTCGTCCGTGTTGAGGGCGAAAGTAGATGTCATCGAAGACGAACGCCAGGGCACCGTTGACGAAGAGGCAGTACTTTGAGGCTGCCAGGACAAAAGAGGTGCAGGATTTCGGGTTTGAGAAATGGTTGGGGTGTAATCAGTTTCCTGTATTTATTGCATATAACTTATGTGACCAGCCAGAGACAAATGACTTACACTTCGTGATTCGTGTCTTGGAGGGGTCCTCAACTCCTCAAACTGCCCCCGCGACGCCCGAACGTCGGGGGAGGTGCCTGATATTGGAGTCAGATGCATCTATGGATAGGTCTCAACCGTCTTTCCACCATGACTTGAGGACAAGAGACTGACCTGAGTTGTTGAAACCTGGCAGTGTAGTTCCTGACAAGACGGTCCCACGAGTTTGCTAGGGATCCAAGGTGTCGCGGAAAGGACTTTCCATGCAAAAGACCGGCATGCATGAGCATTCCCATTAATGCTAGCATCGACAACAGGCCCAAGAAGATTTTTCCAGAGAGGAGCTGTCAGAAGCATGAATGAGATGATACACAATGCCATGAAGACGAGAGACTACCAATGAACAGCATATGCGTATCTTGGTCGGTAGGATGACGGACCGATTTGGACAATTTTTGCAGCACCACTGAGTTGAAGTCGCATAACGCGATTTGATAGTTGAACAATTGGGTCTTAGCGTTGGAGCGAGTATGAAGGAACGTCCACGGAAGCTCGACAAAAGAGGAAACGTCCGCCGAGTCGAAACGGATAGCATAACGACTTAATTCAGAGGCTATCGATTCGTGCAACGAAGCCCATATTTCCTGTTTGGTGGGTGGCGTCCATGAAACAACTAGGTGGTGCTTTTCGAGTCGTTCGAGGGCCAGAAACAAAGCCTGATTATCGTTGGGCAAAGAAAATGATTTGAGGGAGTTGTTTGGGCCAGACTGTATTCGGAATGAGCCAAGAGGACTCCGCCCTGAATCATGCGCGTTGTACAGACCAGAGTCAAGGGAAGAATGAAGATCTTGAAACTGATTGGAGAGTTCGAGCTCGAGTTGGCTTTCAGGGTTGCTCGGCCCTTCTTGCCAGTTGGGGTCGCGGATTTTTCTGGCAGTGCGTGCTTCACCATACTCCGTTGCCTCCGCATTCGAGGGCCGTCGTAGTCTGGCTGTGGAGTTTTGTAGGTTCCGATAAGATTTGACGGAGAGGCAATCTTCAGACGATCTTGATACTGGCCAAGAGTAAAGGAGCTTGGCCCTGCATTGTTGTTGAAGAGTCCTTGAGGTGCACTAGATATTACCGTGAGCCCAAACGAAGCGCACAGATAACAACACACAGAAAGGAAGCGGGTTGTGTTGTGTTGTGCTGCCAATATGTATGACCGCAATAGAAGCAGCATATCGCACTGCCTGGAGCAATCTATAGTCGTAATGGTCAATGACTTGTGCTGAGAATTGACGCAGTTACAGACAGGGTTATCTGCAGTGGGTTCTGAAAACTGACCCATTGAGCAGTCGCAAAGGGAACATCTGTCTCGAGCGGGTAGAGTCATGGAAAAGAGGCAAACGACGGAATTTGATTCCTGACTTCCGCATTGGAAGTTTCCATTGGAATTAAACTAGTCCACGTTTCGTTCGTCACCTTGTCCCCTCCAGCGATTGTCGTTAAATGAAAACTATGTCGTGGGCGAGCAATAAGCCCGCTGAAAGCCGATGAGCAGGGAAACCCACTGTTCAACGGCGGAAGGTTGATGGCGGCGTGGATTCGGAGTTGTTCGGAGTCAGCATAAAACGCGTGCTGCTCCACGTGATTTCTGGTTTGCCGAAATGACCCTACTGACAGCGGTTGTTGTGGCAGTTGGACTTGGATTGGACTAGCCAAGAGCGAACCCACGTTTGGTTCGTCACGGTTGAAGTCTATGCTGGCCCGTTTGTAAAATAATTAATCAGCGATATATTTGGCGATACGCGCGAAAGTTTGAGTGCGCGAGCGAAAGTTTTTAGTGCGCGAGCCAGAGACGGCGTTGATGGCAACTTAGGGTCACATATCATATCATCGCATCGCGTGACATCCTGATCACGTCTTCTGGGAAAGTCTCCAGCGGTTGTCGTTGGACGAACCAAGAACGAACCCACATTTGGTTCGTCACGGTTTGCGCAGTAAGTCCTCGTCCTCCAGCCCCGACACCCAAGTCTCCCACAAGTAGTAAGAGGTGTTATTGAGAACTGCCGTTGCTAATTCTGGCCTAGACGTTCTCGCAACATCTCAGTCTACTGCTACATCGTCTACTGATATCTTGGCCAGCATCTCGCAATCGACGAACGGCGGGTTTCCCTGTTCACCCCCACCAAGGCCAATACTTCGTGCGTGCTTAATCCTCCACTTTTAAATATCTAATGCGCGCTCTCAAATCCAGGGGGCCTCACGTTGAACAAACATTCAATGTGTTTTCTGTACTAATGAATTAATGGAGTCCATATCGACCGACAATACTCTCGCTTTTAACATCCAATTCTTCACACCACGGGTCTCTTTGCTCAAGTCCAGAGTACGACCCTCCAGCGGTTGTCGTTGGACTAGCCAAGAGCGAACCCACCTTTGGTTCGTCACGGTTGGGCAGCAA